TCGGCTCCGGCCGCCGAGGGGCTCTGGGCCGGACCCAAACCCGGCGAACACGGCCGGAGTGTGGCTCGATTCCTTGCAGCAAGCCCCGCCCCCAGGAATCGGGCCCCGCTCTTGCTAAAGCCGGCCCTGCTTTCCTCACACCCCAATCCATCCCTCCCATCCCGCACTTCCTGCCTAGCTCCCCCACGGCCCCAATCCAACCCTCCCTGTGACACTCTGTACCTCGGGGGGACACCCTACACTGCCATGTTCATCTTTATAAAATGATTGTGTGGTATCCAGTGCAAACTGTGTCATGTCAGGTGTCTTCGGAAGGCTCAGAATGCACTGAGCATGGTTGTTATAGTGATGTTATAGTAATTGTTACAGTCATGTTATAGTGAGGTTATAGGTTATAATTTCATGTGTATAGTTATGAGGCTGAATATGTGTCCTCGGGGCTTAAAGCAAGCCCAGGCAAAAAACTCTCCAGGAAGAGAGAGGCAGTTCACACCTCGTCCTGGCATGGGACAAACCCAGCCCAGCCTCACAGGAACAATGGACACTGGCCTGGGCAGCAACAAAAGAATCTGTTAGACCCTCGAGGGAGTCACCCCCTTCCTTTGGGGAGTTTGGGACTGCGATGAGGTAATGCTCACCTGACTCTGAAGGGGCAGGGCAGGGGAGGGGAGAGGTTGGGCAAAGCCAAGAGGAAAGAAAGGACATGATAAAAGGGAGAGACATTTTGCCATGCTCTCTCTCTTCCACCTACATCTACAGACACCACCACCACCACCGAGCAACTGAAATGCTGACCAAAGGGGAGAGCCTGACTGAAAAGCCAGCCTGTGATGAGAAGCATCTAAGTTTTTAAGGACATTGAAAGTGTTAAGATCAGCTCAGAATGCGTTTTGCTTTTATTTTATTTGACCAAATCTGACTTGTTGTGCTTTGACTTATAATCTCTTAAATCTACCTTTATAGTTAATAAATCTGTTTGTTTATTCTACCTGAAGCAGTGCGTTTGGTTTGCAGTGTGTCAGAGACTTCGCCTTGGGATAACAAGCCTGGCACATATCAATTTCCACAGCCTCCCAAGCTCTGATGATCCAGAACCCCTGAGTTCCGCTCCAACCCCCTTCCCCAATCCAGCCCTCCACCCAGTTCTGCTTCAACCCTCCTGTCCCACTCCCCCCACACCCCACCGCCCCACGCAGAGTGGCTGATGCTTATTTCTTGCACTCCATCTCTTGGGAAGCCACATCTAGCCTCCAGGGCACATCAGTGTCAGGGCCTAGGGAGCTGGGCTCCAGTGTTATAACCTCACCAGCCTTTACCCCGAGGCGCTATGCAATACGCCCCCAAGCCAGGTTATCCTGCTGACTTTGCACAGCTAACTGTGAGAGAGATTTTCTCTCTCTTTACCTGTCACTTAAGGAACCAAAGACCACAGCTCCAAGGAGAAGTCCCAGCATGTAAATGGATTGGGAGATGTCATTTAGCTCTTTTCGGTCACATACCAGGTCAAACTGAAAGAAGGAAACAAAGTAGGTTTCATTTTAAAGGGGCTTTATTTTGATGGCTGGATTCATGACGTGCTAGCAGCACAAACATTCCCAGAGAGAACTGGTGATTAAGGTACACGGCCTATAATGCCAAAACTACCATTCACCTATTACAGCTCCACCCCACTCAGCATCTAGGGTTGCCTGAGAGGGTCAGATGTGTTCGTAAGTAATACAACTCCAAATAGAACAGACGTACATGACCATTCAGTCCCTCTCCCACTCACTGCAGGATTACCCCAAGCAATGGGGCTTTGTGGAGAAACTATCCCATCACAAGGGATCTCATTGTCACAAAGCTTTTCCCAATATTCAACCTTCCATAAATTCATCCCGATACCCCTCATTACACTGCTACAATAAGTGCCACAATAAATAGTTCCTCTCCCTTCTTGGTGTTCGAGCCCTTCAGGGAGGCATAAAACACTCTCTCTCTCTCTCTTTCATTTCCCTTTTTGACTCTCCGCCAACACCTTCAGCCCCCAGATCCAATTCAGTTGCTCTTTCCTGAGTTTCCTGCATTTGTTAACACGATAACAAGCAGAGCTGGTCAAAAACCAGAAGCAACCTCAACATGTATTTTGGAAAAACAATGTTCTTTTTTGAAGATTTCAAAAAGTACCCATGGTTTGTTTATCCAAAATTCTGTTCAAAATTGTTAAGCTTCTCTGTTTCTTCCTTTCCCCCCTTTTTCTGCTTTGTCACGGAGAAAAGCAAAGTTCATCATTTTAGTTAGAAAAGGAAAAGCCAGAGCATACAATATTCTAATTATTGCTCAATGGACTTTCCATTAGAAAAATGTTATATAGCTGCCATCAATAGTTTGTGCATATAGGAAAATATGTAAAGACGACAAACACGGACTTACAGGTATAGATTTTACAAGGCTTTGCTAGTCTCTCGTTTTGGTAAAGCCCAATTCTTCAGTTACACAGTTTGACGGATCTCCTACACATCCTTGCACAAAGAAAAGCAACAACAGAGCCCATGACTTTTCTGAAAAATCCTAGAAGTCACAGTTTGTGTCACGGAAATCGTGGGCATGATTAACATACAGCTTCATTCTTGCAATGGGCATTTGTGCAAGGACAACAGAGACAAGCTGAAAACCACCACTGGCTCCATCTATCTATCTAGGATACTTACACAGCCCCATCTCCATGCTATCTGAGCACCTCGCAAGCTTTAATAGATGTAGCCTCATGCCACACCCCTGTGAGATGTGCTTTTGTTCCATTACATGCAGATGGGGAACTGAGGCATAGAGTACGTCTACACTGAAAATTAAGGTCCAGCTGTAGCCAGGGTAACCATGCCCATGAGAGCTTTAATCTAGCTAACATCGGTAACAAAAGCAGTGAAGATGTGGTGGCATGGACCCACAGCAACCTGGGTACATATCCAGGTTCCCCCATGGTCTTGTACTGGAGCTCCTAGCCCATGCCACCACTTCTTCACTACTACTGCTACACGCACTAGTTAGACTAAAGCTAGTGCAGACATGCTTACCTATGCTACAATTACACTTTCATTTGCAGTGTAGATGCATCCTAAGTGCCTTGCACTGGGTCAAACCAGATGTCTGCAGTAGAGGAGGAACTGTAGCTAGATCCCCCATGGGCTAGAAGTGCTCTAACCACTGAACAATGCTTCCTCTCTCCTTTCTGCCTGGCTGCTCACAAACTGCAAACACTAAAGGCTGGTCTACACCTAATAGCTGCATTTGTTTAACAAAAAAATGGCATTTAAATGACCAGACTAAGCTAAATCAATATAATTCAACTGTAAACCAATCTATGTGCATCCACACAGTTGGGCTGGTTTAAATTGATTTAAAATCCAGCATATCCATTATGGGGAGACAATCCCCAGTGTGCGTGTACACTTTCAAATCCGCATGATCCTTAGCCATAAATATAGACTCCAAATGCAGTTACAAACCTGAGTCACCAACGTTGGGTTTTGTTCTGCAGAATAGACCCACCCCTCCTGGCACTTCTTAGTGACATTAAGGCCGTATTCTATGACGGAGTCAATATCCCAGTTCACAGGAGCGTACATAAGGCATTCTTCATACGATCCCTGTGTGTTCCTAGGGATCGTTAGGTTCAGCTGCTGTTCCTCCGTCAGGTTTGGGCTAATGGCATAGATCCAGCTTGTCTTACAGTGATGAGGCACATCCAGAACCATGAACAGTTGGCCAAACATGGGAAAAGCCGTTAGAAAGTTTGCAAGGCTGAGCATCAGCACCAGCCATTTTTGAAATGGCCCCAAATCTCCTACAGCATTGATAACATCTCCAAAGTCTGTCATTGTTTGCTTGTCTAATGCTGGAGTGTAGCATGGTAGCTTTTTCTACATGGGCTGAAGTTAATGTTTAAACCCAATGTGACTCAAAAAAATAATCAGCTAAGACAACATGAAATGTTGTGGCATGCCCCATGCTCATGTCAGCCTAATGAATTATGTTTTTAATCTTCAAGCATGTACTTCGTAACCCACTAATTACTTTCCACACTTCACGGGCAATAGTTAGCATTGCCACAGCAAATAAAACCAAGACACACAAAAGTTTAACTGGTCATGACTTTAACTGGCTTCTGAAGGCAGAAGCCTCAGCAAAATGGATGCAACCAGAAAGCATTGGTTGGGATTTTCAAAGCAAAGCAGGGGGGTTTAGCCACACATGTGGGGGAGTTAGATCCAAAAAACCCTGGATCCGAACACTGATCTAATTCTAAAGGTTTAAGAAGAGAAAGGAAGGAAAGTCCAGACATTAGGCACTAGCCTAGGACATGTGAATCCTGGGTGCAAGTCCCTGCTCCGCCACAGAATTCCTGTGACTCAGGGCAAGTCTACAGTACCACGCTACATTGGCACAGCTGTACCAATGCAGCTGTGCCTCCGTAGTGTGTCTGGAGAAAATACGCTATGCCGCCGGGAGAGGCGGAAGCAATGTTGGTGGAAGAGTGTCTCCCACGACATAGTATGGTGTGGACACTGCTGTAAGTTGATGTAATTTACAGCCCTCAGGGGGGTGAGGGGGTGTCGTTTTCATACCCCTGAGCGACGTAAGTTACATTGACTTAAGCGGTAGTGTAGACCAGCCCTTAGGGC